GATAATTATCCTAATTATATTTTAGATTTTTTATATTTTAAAATGAAATGTTTACCATTTATTTGATTATATTTATTCGCAATTAATTACACGAATTCAAACATGGAGCTTTAATAAGTTGTACTTATGCATAATTTATTTGTAATCTTGAATTTTAAGTAATATGCAAAAAATGATTTTTAAAAGTTTTTGTCAAATATTTTATAATATAGTGTATATATATATATATATATATATATATGATAAAACTCTTTTCAAAAAAATTAATAGAATTTCACATTTTTCTACATTTTTCTCAAAGTTGGTAAGGTGGTTGTTGTGTCCCGGTCCCTCTCAAACAGACCATCTGAAACCTGCAATTTTGAAAAACACTAAGTTGAAAAAATAATCCAATGTTTACTGCTAAAATTACTATTAGTTGTCGTTGTTGTTGTTGTTGTTGTTGTTATTATTATTTGTAAATTGAATGAGCCTCTATATTCATAATCATTAAAAAGATGTTAACATTAAGTTTTACAATTTTGTGTTTTAGTGTGTTATTGGAAGAATTTTGTATTTTAACGAGATGCATCTTTGTTTTAGGGGTGTTTGGTTTGTCGGAATAGAATGGAATTGGAGGGATATGGATTTGAATTGAAATCCATTCAAATCATGTGTTTGGTTTGTATGATTGTTAGGATTTAAAATCTAGGGATTCATTTAAAATCCCGTGACTACTAGATTTGAGAATCCTTTGGAAAGACATGGTCTTTGAATTCCATTCCCGTCGGATTATTCTGCCCTAATTTGCAATCTTTATCGTTGCATTCTCGCTTGAACAGAACCATGCCCTTCTCATCGTCTCCATCTTCTCCCACGTTGGTCGTCTCCATCTCTTTCTCCCACGGTGGTCGTCTCCATCTCTTTCTCCCAAGTTGCGTCTCCCACGGTATCTCAGTTGAAAGCATTCTATTTTATAATGAATGATCAGCCAGTGATCGTCATTAATCACAAAAATAATACATCAACAAGACTGTTGCATTGACATATTGTCATTAGAAGAACACACAAATTAAAAATTAAAAAAAAAAAAACAATTCTGAGATGTGTATATATAAAAATGATCATATAAGAAAAAGAAGTTACAAAATTCAAATTCCATTCTATAGAAATAGTCAGACTCAAAATAAAGTTAAAAATTAAGAAAGATTAATTGTTACAAACGAAGAAAAAAATGATTTCATGTTCTCAAAAAGAAGAAAAAGGGAAGAAAAGACGTCACTTTTACGATATACCTATTAAAAATATGTTCTATATAATGAAATGTTTGGTGGTTTTATAATTTTAATAATCTTTTTTAAATGGTTTATTTTCTTTTCTTTCATTTCCTTCTTTCCCTTTCATTATCTTTCTTTCCTAAAAAAAAAGTTTCGAGAACAGGAGTTTTCTTTACTTTCCTCTCATATCTCTCTATTTCCTTTGTTTTCTTTCATAAAAAAGTTTCAAGAACACAGCGTAAAAATGGATATTGATGTGATGACGAACAACCAACAACCGGTAAGAATAAACAATTAAGGAATAAAATGATGAATTAAAATATAGAATGAATAAAAAATGTTTCTCTCTTTAAAACCTTTAAAACATTTGGAGACCCAAGTGATCAAAAGCCCCATGCCACGACATCATCGCACACCCTAAGACAACCCCTGAAACTACGTTTGTTAAGATCAAATAATAAACTTAATAAAGAACTCAATTAGATCAAGACATATAAAATTCCATGACATTCTCCATATTTCTCTCATACTATTTTGTTATACTTGTTCTTTATTTAGCTCTTGATTTATAGCTTTTCATTGTTAGTTTAGGATTGTATCTTCTAATATTTTTACTTCCTGTTGTATTTCATATATTGAAAATTATGAAGAAAGAAGATTTATGTATGGTATCAGAGTGGGTTTAACACCACAATTGAATTTGAAACTGATGACCATGAAACCCATTAAAATGGAACTGTTGAATTTGAAAGCACCAATATTGAGCAAGTCAGAGAAAAGAGAAGCAGGTCAAGAGCCAAACACTTGGAAGACTATGTAGTGAAACTTCCTGCATCAATAGACCATGGCATCCCATCTTCAATCAACAATCCTCAACAGTATGTCCCTTAGCAAATTTTATCTCTTATGATAAGTTATTGGACTCACACAAAGCTTTCTTAGCGGCCATCAGTTCCAATGATGAGCCGAAAGACTTTAGTCAAGCTGTGCAGGGTCAAAATTGAAGAAATGCCATGAAGAAGGAGATATAGGCACTCGAAGAAAATGAGACACAGACCATTCAAGACTTACCGAGTGGAAAACAAGTTATAGACTCAAAATGGGTCTATAAGATAAAGTACGAACCAAATGGCGAAATAGAGAGGTACAAGGTGAGACTCGTTGCAAAGGGTTTTACTCAGATGTAGGGAGTATTTACCATGACACGTTTGCTCCGGTGGCAAAGTTGGTCACTGTTAGAAGTCTCCTTGCAGTTTTCGCTAAAAGAGACTGGATCATTCATGAATTGGATGTGAACAATGCATTCCTACATGGGGACTTAGATTAAGAAGTCTACATGAAAATCCTGCAAGGTTACGACAAAGGAGGAGGAACCAAAGTCTGTAGATTAAGGAAATCCCTCTATGGTTTGAAGCAAGCCTCGAGGAACTGGTACCAAAATTCACATCAACACTCCTCGAACTCGGATTCAAACAATCTCATTGTAGACCACTCCCTCTTCATATATAAGGAAAACAAAGTATTTGTTGCTACTCTTATATATGTCAATGATGTAATTATTGAAGGAAATTATCAAGACAAGATCCAAGTAATGAAGACCTATCTTGACAAGAGGTTTAGCATCAAATACCTTGGCCCTTTGAAGTACTTCCTTGGAATAGAAGTAGCTGGAATGATGGATGGCCTAGTCCTAAGCCAAAGAAAATACACCCTAGACATTTTAGAAGACAGTGTGATGCTAGGGTGTCGACCATGCTCTTTTCCAATGGAGCAAAACTTGAAACTCGAAAAGGACAATGAAGAGGTCTGTGTGGATGCCAACAAGTACCAAGGACTTGTGGGGAGGTTGCTATATCTCCAAGCCACGAGACCCGACCTCACATACTCGGTAAATTTTCTAAGCCAATTCGTCTCTGATCCTCGACAAGAACACATGGATGTGACTATAAAGGTTCTGAGATATCTAAAGGCAACACCATGACAAGGTGTTTTCTTTCCAAAATAGGGGAATCATTTATTCACATATTGCGATGTCGATCAACTTGGATTTCCTTTCACGAGAAGGTCACGAAAGAGATAAACCTTACTCTTGGGGGGAGCCCCGACTCATGAAAGTCAAAGAAACGGTCCATTATTCTCCCATTCCTTTGCTGAAGCCGAGTACCGTGCCATGGATGTGTTGGCTTCTAAAGAACCTTGAAGCTAAGAAAAACGGACCTACACCCCTCTTTTGTGATAATCAAGCGGCTTGACATATCGCAAACAATCCAGTCTTCCATGAACGCACCAAACATGCCGAGATAGATTGTTACTTCAATAGAGAACGAGTCAAAACTCAATAGATAGAGCCGTTTTACATTGATATGAAGATGCAAATAGAAGATCTTTTTACCAAAGCATTGGGAACTCAACAACTTGAGCCTTTACTCAGCAAGCTAAGCATGCGAAATTTACATGCTCCACCTTGAGGGGAGTATAAAATTCCATGATCTTCTCCATATTTCTCTCCTACTATTTTGTTGTAATCGTTCCTTAGTTAGCTCCTGATTTATAGCTTTCCATTGTTAGTTTGGGATTGTATCTTCTATATATTTTGACTTCCTGTTGCATTTCATATATTGAAAAAAAATACCATATAAACATTTAAATTATTTTAATATCTTAACTTGAAAATATTAAAATGTTTAACAAATACATTCTAATGATTTAAAATGTTCGAAATCTTTAAATAACTTTTAGCTTTGATAAACCTTTATTGCTTGGTATAAAATTTGAGGCTTTAGTTTCTATAAAAATTCATGTTGTGATCTCTAATTGAATTTCTTATCATGCGTTATTCCTTTGCTAATTAGCATGAAAATGTTACAATCTCCATCAAATCCGATCATGATCCACGTGTAAAGAAAGAATTCAAAAGGCAGATAGGTGATGCACGAAGAACTTGTGTGCATCCATTTGACTTAGTAGCACACAAATGATCATTTTAATATTGTGACGCTCAATACAAACACTATAATTAAAATGCAAGTTTGACACACAAAAACATATACTTGAAGCAAAACAATATACATGTGAATTCAGTTGTCATTAAAGCAGTGAATTAAAAGGTATTACTAGAGGTAGTCCTGCATTCTAGTGTATTTGATATCAGGGTAGAGAAGAGATGCCTCTTCAGCATCATCTCCAATCTTGAAATTTGTTAGACAACCTTTGTAATAGACATGGTAGTAATAAGTCCATCCCACTTGCTCAGCATGCCCTAATTTTTTTGTAATTAAGTTCACAAAACATTTGTAAACCATTAGCATATGGCGGTATTGTAAAAAAAAAATACGACTCTTAAAGGTGCTACCACTAGGATTCGTTTTGTAGCGCTACCAATGGGCATCATTGGCAGAAAATTGAAAGACTACAGTAGCATATCAAAGCTTATATTTGAGTTTTAACTTTTAATTGCTAAAAATGGTAAAACACAAAAACGCTAACCGTAAGTCACTGAAATTGGAACCCATTTATTAGTGTTTTGTACTATAAAGTATACATGTTCCCTGCTTCATGAAAGACAACAACTTCTGGATTTTTCTCAACGCCGATTCGGATATCTGATCTTTAGAGAACGTATGTCTCGTAACCTTGTTCTAAACTGGTCCGCACTAGTCACTTCCTTAAGTGATGCAGTGTGATAAATAAATGAAGGTTGATCCCGTTGATTCTTTGAATACCGGTAACAATCCCTTCCAAATCGAATCACAAGAACTCAAATTTGGGACCAAAATTCAAAATTTCATAGTCAAGCTATTACCATCCAGATTACACAAGAAACACATAAATAAGAAGGCTAAAACGAAATGGACCTGAAAAATAATATTGGCCGAACATAAAAGACCAAACATAAAATGTAAAATTGGTACAAAAACACAAAAGTGTTTAAAAACATGCTTAACCAACATTTTTAGGGCTCAAAAATCTCGTAGGAGTCCCGTAGCATAAGTTTTTGGACTGGTCATGGGCCTAAAATGGAGTCTCATGGCAAAAGATATAAGTGTAAGCTCGTTTATGTGCGACAAACTTTGTTAGCCCGGTTATAGGCCTCCAGGAACAATAGGTTCTGATCTTTCATGCCAAGGCATGCATCACTAAGTGTCCAGACCCCCCAATGATCAAAACTTTGCTCTTCATCCTCATTTATAAGTGTGTTCTTTTTGAAAATTCAATGTGGATAATTAATGTGCATGGAAGCCTCAATTTAATCAAGAGCCTCTAAAATCACTCTTGTTGAAACTTGAAAGATAAGGAAATGATAATATTTAATATGAACTAACAGTAGGTTACGCCGGAAAAAAAAAACATCTTGAGGCTAATTGAAACTCTGGTTTTCTTTTCCAACTCTTGCAAAGTACAAGGACGGTCACTAGGGTTTGTATTCCATTAATAGTTTCGTCCGTGGCCCTAACAATTGTTAATTAAGATCATTTGTATAGCTTCCTCACGTGCAAGTCATGTTGGATGCATTTTAGTATTTTGCATATTTTTAATAAAATCATTTGTATGAAGGCACTTCATGATTGCTTCCAACGAGCCTAACTATAAGGGACGATATTCATAACGAATTGAAATACAACCCTGAGTGATCCTTGTAGTTTCAAAAAGTTAGGGACAAATACCATAGTTTCCACAAACCTGAGGAACTA